GCTGGAAGAAGGCATGATAGTACTGGCAAAGGACGCATGAAAACACGGACAAGTTGCTAAAAAGAGGCTAAACAAACATTGAAAAAAGGTCTTCTCAACCCTGGTTTTTGGCTTTAATTAAATGATGGATTTTCCATACAAAATATGGATATATGGAGTTGGACGGGTTCAAATAGTTGTACGGCTTAACAGCAATTGTCTTCTATGGCCGACTTAAGTTAACATCAGTTGGATGAGCAGTATCATTTTAGACGGAGATCATTTGGGACAGGCCTTTAAGCATGCCAAGACTTTGCCTCCATATCTCTTTTCTGAAAAACATAGATCGAACTTATAAGAAAATGTTGAATTAATAAAGCTTTATAAAAAATGTGTGGCTCCCTTTGCAAAATGGCTTCTAGAAACTGTCGGGTCCAGTGATGCAAGGTGTGTTTGGGCATACCAAAGTAACTAGGCATGAGATATAATCATATCGTTTAATCAGGTTGTTTAATGTATCTATATCTGTAAGCGAAGGCATTTAAAGTCATCAGATAGGCGAGTACCTTGAAAGTTAAGCACCACTTTGGCCTGATTGTTTGAGGACGGAGTGGCGAGATGGCGACTATTTGGTTAGGTGTCATACATTATTCACACTATAAGCATCATATTTATTTTTTAAAAATTCATCAATTACGCAATCCTACAGCTGCATCTGCCTCAGTCAATTAAATGTCTGTAGAAGCTGATAGTCTGAGATAAATTCTACACTTTATTCTAATTGCTTAGACCTATTGTTGCTGACTTTTTGCCAATATACACACAGTCAAACTCACACAATGAGGGAAATTAAATTTGACTAATCAAATGATATGCCTCTTAAATTCATTCTTTTCAATAGTTTATAGTCTGTAGGTATGCGTCAGTTATTGTACTCGACGTATTATTAACATTTAGTTTGTATAAGAATGAGGTCCAGTTCTAATGATGCCTAACAAATGGCATGGCAAACAAAAGCTCATCATTTTTTTAACCGAGGCTGTCTAAAGGTTTTAGTAAAATCAGGCCACACCAGAACGAGTGGCAACAATCGCCGTCTTGTTATGAAATACTATTTAGTCTGATGACGTAACGGACTTCTGTGTACCTCGGACACAATTTGTCATTTTGGCTGAGATAATGAGTGAAATGTGACTAAAATACAGTAAAACCCTGGTAACTGAGTTATCAGGGTTCTAACACTGGCATCCGCCCAAGTCTCCTTCAAAGAGTAGAGCATTCATCTTTCGATAAAATACAAAAAAGGAGTCGTATTCTCCCTTATTTGTGTTAGAGTAATCTGTTCTCGACTCAGACTGAATGGTTTCGAATTCATCTGGAGGCTTTGATAGGGTCGAGGCGAAGTCAAAGAATAATTTCACTCGATTTGCAACGAATTCCTCCAAATTCATAATGAAAAATTGAATTGTTCTGCTTAAATATACACTGAACTACCTGCAATTGAGGTGCCCACAGATTGGATGTGGAAGCAACATTCGAGATGTTGACACTCAACGGCAAGTCTGCCCAGAGGCCAACATTTTTTTCTCTCTTGATCACCACTTCTTCAGAGGCCATCAAATTTTGGACTAGCATCAATTCGTACTTAATAGAAAATGCATAAGTCAACCATCCACTGGCAAGCTGAGAAATGGCCGTTTTACGAAAAAGATGGCTGTTTTACTATGCATGAATGAAGTAATGATCAAACATATGGATGAAAAGATGAATGCCCAAGAGCAAATGTGTTCCAGCAGACGCAAAGCAGAGCTACCTAAAGCAAGCTCGAACTGCCCTTGACCGCCATTAACGCCAGTTCAGTGATTTACGCCGCCCAGCTCGGCTACCCTCAACTCCTAGGCTGACAGGCAGAAGATAAGAAGAAGGCCTAGGGTTTTGAATTTATTTTCAGCTTAAAATTTTTAATGTATTCAAATAAATTAAAGCAACCTGGGAACTGTCTAAGAAGACAGGCAGCCGCATAAAGTAAAGGGAGCAGACTGGATCCGGTTCTATTGTCTACTTCAAAACTGGATTGGAAATAGGGCTGAGTTAGATTACAGAAATGGCGCCAAAGGCAAGAGTTAAAAGATAGAGAAGTGACCAAGTTGTAAGGTGTTGTTGTATAAGTAAGTGGTTGTCCGGCATATGTTAGGCGATAAACTGCTTTCGAAAGTGTGAAAATGCAGAAAAAATAGGTTTTTTACACACACAGTAAGGATGAAGGGTGAAGTAAGGATGATGAAGTGGCCGAGATGCGGAGAGTGGGTACTCCGGCTATTAAATAAAACAAACTAGTGGAAAAAAACAAATAAAAAGAAAAAGAAGAAGAAAGAGAAGCTTACTTTATACCAGCACTGCCGTTACTAAATAAGCGTTAAGACGTATGTGTGCACGGATGGGTATCATCATATGTGTACGTGTGTATGCGACATTCGATTGGAGATGGGATGCATGTCTGTGGTCGTGTGATTTCGGCGCATATGCATTTAAGGTCGTACCAGCACCTTAGCAATCTAAGGTTGGATGGACAGTTACTGGCCAAATAAGATTTACCAAATACCTCAGAGCATGGATCATGTGTATCAAAGGCCAGTCTTAGTAGAGCTGAAAAAGCGCATGGAGTAGCCTGTCAGAGAATTGCTTGCGAGTGGTGGTCCGATTGTTTCTTCAACAGAGGGGCGTGAAATTCTAAGTGATTGTTAATTTGGCTGATTCCTGAGTAGAGGTGTGCGAGGCCAGTGGCGCAAAAATGACCAAAGATCTGCTAATTCGCACTACTAAACCAGAGTTAAGGCTAGTGATGGATGAGGGAGATAAAGATGCGGATGGGACCACGTATGTACGCATGTGTGGAAGTGTAGGTGTATGCGAAAAAGAGGATTTATGGAAGAAAAGCAGAAGAGTATGCAGTTAGAGGGATGAATAGAAGCATAAGCCAATGGGTGGACAGGAGAACAGGAGTAGATAAAGTGAGAGAAAATAAAAAAATGGATGAGCAAGGAGTTAAAAAATCCGACCGAAATGCTAGAATGAACTAGTACCGAATATACCAACCCAACAACATAAACTATCTCTGCACGTATAGAAAGTATTCACCAAACGGCAATGGAATGGATGCCTACATGTAATCCTGATTAAGTAAGGAGAAAAGGAGAAGTCCAAGTACATGCTGATTTGAGCAGGTTTGCACAAATACTCGTGGCTCTATTAAAGGTAGATCGTGTAACTATGTAGACAGACAAACAAGCCGGCCAGCAGGCAGGCAGGTTGGCATGGGCAGCAAGAAATAAAGTGGAATGTGGATTGGTAGGGTGGCTAAGGCTTGATGGCTATCCCCAAGTGAGCTTTGGCCCGTTCAACTGAGTACAACAAGTGTGGCCGGACAAAAGCAACTAGACTAAGGGGCAGGTAGAGTGTGATTGATGAGGAAACATTGAAAAGTGGGATTCTGTAAGTGGATGAGCGGGTTTATCCGCTGAGCCTACATCCGCGTGTGTATGCCCATGCAAGCATGTGAGCAAAAAGTGTTTTCCGCCTCCATGGCAAGACTCGTTGTAGGTGATTGGGGAAAAATAGAGATGTGACACTCGACGAAAACACTACAACGATGAGCCGAAATACCTTAAACGAAACTTTCTGAGCCTCTGAGGCCACAGAGCAAGAAAATCCCTGTTTCATGGTGATTTTCCAGCCCAGTTTAATAGATGCATGAAAATAAGTTGGTTCAAGAACAGACTTTGTTTGTTTGTGGCCTAAACAACTAGTTACCTGCAAATAGCTCAATTGCTGGCATTAAAGAGTAATTGAACGTCCAAGGGAAGACACATGATTGACTCGGCTAAATACTGGGAACAGATAAACAAGCATGGCAACACATGAAGCTTTACTCATGTGTATGTAAAACGGAACTGTGGTGAAGCAAGACGCAAAAGGGCGTAAAAAAGTTGAGATTCCGTCCAACCCACTAGGACTGCCGTCTTCTCCGAGGTCAAACCACCAGTTTCTAGAAAACCGTTTAGGCAAGTCAAGCTAAGGTGCAGTTGAGAGGATTATTAGCCTTTTATGACCTTGTCTTTCTGCGATTCGGGACCAGCTCCAGAGTTGCGAGCCTGGAATGCGTAACCCTGAGTTGTGGAATCGTTAGACCTGACAAAATTTGCCTAATCGGACAGGCAAATTGGATGATAAACGATCTACTGGGCTGCTTTGCGTCTGCTAGTCAACCGCTGATTTTACGAATGCCGAATTGTGCGTGTCTGTTTGTATGATGATGCTGCCAGTAAATACTTGCAGTCTTGTGTAGACAACATTTTTTTGTTTTGTTTTTTAATTAACGACTGTCTGTGTGTGCTACAGCCGACACGCATTCAGCCTTGCCATGATAAACACATATGCATACAGGCGTACAAACAATATAGGCATCTCCATCATGACAAAAAGGGTAGAGCCTGAGGTGGTGGGCTCTGAGGTCCGTTGAAGGGTGATCAGCGCGGAGAGGAAGAGTGGGCCAAAGGCGGGGGTTTGGAGATCTGATCCCTTGGGACAAATGTGGCCAGAAATAGGAAGAGATTTGCGCAGAGAAACGAATAAACTGGCTGTTAGGCATCAGCAATATCCCGGCCTTAAGTAGTGTCTACACTCACTCAGGTTGTAGTGAATTGGCTCCACCAGTCGTCGGATCAGCCGTCTCGAAAACTGGAAGACGGGCAGCCTGCAGACATAGTGCCGTCTTCTGGACATTTGGCTTTTGCGAGATTGGCGGGGGCGGTGGCAACGGTGGCGGCGGTGGTACCGAGGACGGAGGAGAATGAGGGGGCGATGGGGACGGAGGAAGAGTTAGCTGAGAAGAAGATAAAGGTGGAGGAGGAGGAGGAGGAGGAGCGGGCGGTAGGACTAGTGGGGATGAGCTGACGTCGGTCGGGAGCGGGGGTGGTTGCCCAGCCTCAGCAGCCAACTGAAGAGGAGATGCGCAGATCGGAGGCGTCTGCAAAAGGGCTGGTGGCAAAGTGGCCAATTGTGGCGAGGTGAGCTCGATTTTAGATCCCCAAATTATTGCTGATAGTGGCGGTGGTGGAGGCGGCGAAGTCATCGAGAAGGCTGGTGAATCTGCAAACCTAATTTGGTGTTCTGGTAACTGGGTGGGTGGTGGAGTCGGCAGAGTAAACGGTTTTATCGTTGTACCCGGGACTTCAGCGCTCGCTCCAGACGCCGAGTCCAGCCTTCGAGTGGCACGATCTGGTCTGCCCGAGGCCGGTGGAAAGGTGGATTCAGACAGTCTGGACTCGGGGACGATGGTCGGCTGAGGCCCGACGTCCTCGTGAGGAAGCCTCGTTCGGTGGGGGCGTATTTTGTGGTGGCCGGTGCGATTCCCAGAATCAGTTGCATCATCAACCGGCCCATCGGCGGATTCACCAGCCCTCCTCTCATGGAAATCATTGCTAGACTCTTTTTTCTTTTTCTTTTTCTCCTTCTCTTTTTTCTTTTTTCTATCCAAATGCTTCGAGTTTCTCGGCTCAGCTTCGTCGGCTGATAACTTATCTCTATCCTCTTTTTCCTTCTCATTCACATGTCTCTCCTCTAATTTTTCACTCTTTCTTGTTTCGTTTTGGTCCTTTCCCGCCCTCTTGAATGCTTTATTACGTTTGCTATATGCTTTCTCCTCGTCATCAAAAGCCTCTTCTTCTTCATCCTTACATTCAAGATGTGGACCCATTTGATCTTTCATAGAAGCCGTCCTTCTCTCGGCTGTCCGGTCACCTGGTGAATCTGTGACTGGTCTGTCGAAGGATTTGTTCCGATGAGAAGACCGTCGAGCATGTAGCTGTACGCCTTCGTCTCCAGCCTGTTTTTGATTCTGTTCCTGATGTTGCTGATAATGCCGATGATACTGGTGGTGATGTGGCTTCTGTTGCTGTAGCGGAACCTGGCGATGAGTGTGGCAGTCTGGGTGAGGACGATGATGATGTTGTTGATGGTGATGAAGACACTGAGGCTGCTGAGGCTCTGGAGGGCGATGGCCGTAAACAACGCCAGTCGAAGGTTCCTCGAATTGTCCGGTCGGATCTTCGTAACGTGTAAGAACCTGTAATCGACGTTCCGTTTCACGTTTAGCCGAAGAGAGTTGACGCGCCAGGGCTCGCTGTTTGGAAAGTTCACGTTTGAGTGCTTTCTGCTGTTCGCGCAGTCGGCTGATTGAAATGGCAGTAGATGAGATGTCGTCTGGCTCGTCTCCCTGAACGGGAACAGTGATGGCTATCGTTGCACCGGCAGGAGACCGATCCATGAGAGGATCCACATTCGGGCATACTAGATGGACTATTGTAGCGGTGGCATCGACTTCCGGCACCCTGATATGGGCTTCAGGGCGTATTGATGCAGTCTCCAAGTGGTCGACTAAACAGGAAAGAGCTCCAGACGACTGTGGCTCTGGCGAATAGCCGCTCCAAGAGGCGGAAGAAAAAGACGATGCAGAGGAGTAGCTAGAACATGATGAAGAGGAGGAGGAGGAAGAGGAAGAGGAGGGGAATTTGGAGGGGGGGGAAGATGATGATGAGGAGGAAGAGGAGTCTGAGCTCAGCGATGAGGTCCGACCGGTGGTGGCTGGAAGGGAAGAAAGACTAGCAGATGATGCCTTGTTGGCGCCACGAGGATGCTGATGATGCCGAGAATGCTGGCCTTGCTGATGGTGGTGGTGAGGCTGCGAAACAGACTGAGACTGTCGACTTGCCTCGGAAGTAGGTGAATAATGCCGATGCCGATGCTGATGCTGATGATAATGGCGCTGCTGCTGAGGAGGGGGATGAGGATGATGCTGATGCTGAAGAGTGTGAGATTTTGCATGACGCTCATGATGATGTTGCTTATGTTGGTGCTTGCGATGATGATGATGATGATGATGGTGTTGATGTTGCTGTTTGACTTCATTTTCTGCCACTGAGTTAAGACTTGTTGAGCAAAACGACTGTGACGACCTACTACGACGAGCCCTTGACACATTCGGAGGCTGGGAAGCAGCAACTTCTGCATGTGCCAACTTTGAGTCTCCTTCGGTCGTCTGTTGATTGCTTGGCTGAACAAGAGGACAGTCAGCATCCGTAAGCCTCTCGAATTGAATACCGCTAGGGACATCTTCAACCTGACGGTCTTCGATGGCAGGTTCTTTCAGCTGAGATGACAAAGTAGCCTGACTATGAACTAAAATTTCAGCCGGCTTCAACAATTTGGCCCTTTTTAAAGA